CGCCGGGAGACAAATCCAGAACGGATCCTAGACGACAAACGGCTGCTACACCCCCCCCCGCAACGTTCGGCGGCGAGCGGGGGGGGAACTGAGGAGAAGAATGCCTTCTCAGAGCGGCGGGACTCCTCAGAAACCCTCGCGCCTTCTGAAGCATTTTTTTCAGCCTTCGAGGAAGCTTAGACAACTTTTCAGAAGGCCGGGGGACTTCCGAACCTTCCGAGAAGGCCTTTTCCTTTTCACTTCCCCCCTTCGCTCGCCGCCAAAACGTAGACTACCACCCTTTTGCATGGCATGTTGACGTGTCGCGTTATTCAGGTGCAACATTTGCTGCAGCGCGTGCGTGGCATGCTGGTGTTGCCGAACCGTTGGCCACGTTCATTTTCATGGGTCAGGTTAGGTGTGGCGCAGTATCGACAGGGCCTGGGTCAGGTTAGGGTAGGGATTGGCTACGGCATGGGGGGCGGTTGTAACTGGCATTCCTATAGGCCCTCAGGCCGAAGCGTTACATGCCGCCACGCTGGTCCCGGGCAGGCTGTGCTGCCCATCGGAAGCGGACGAGGACGGGAGAGCAAGCAGGCAGACGACGACGAACGCCCAGGCGGGAGGCCGAGGCCGGCGGGGCGTAGACAGCATGCAGGGAACAGGGGGAAAGGAAAAGGAGGGAAGCAACGAGCAGAAGGGGAGGGAGGAGGAGGACAAGGAGGAGGGGAGGGGAAGCAACCGCAAGCAGACAGGCCGGGCCACGGGGCCGGGAGAGAAGAGCCACCCGCGACGAGGCTACGGACCGTACGGCGGCGACCCGGGCGGGGTGGCCGACCGAGCCTAACACGCTGCGGCTTGGTGGGGGTTGCCTTCCGCGGGATCTATCCGCAGCCCCGCCGAAGAAGGGCCGGCGTGTGAGGTGTCGCTGGCGCGACGCTGGCGAAAAGGGCGCGGGGGGCGCTCGTGCTGCCCAGCAAAGGCGGGAGGGTGGACGAGGGGCGCTAGGCAGCGCCGGGGGCACCTCACACGGTGTCCACCGTGGAGGCAGCCGTGGCCGCGGCCAGGCGGGCCGGTGCCACCCCCGCCCCTCCAGACTGCGTCTGGAGGCGCCGCAACACCGCCCGCGCGTTCTCCCGGCGCAGGGAGACGGAAAGTCGCTGGGCGTGTTGGTCCGCAACCAGTGCGGCGTCTTCCCCCGTGGCATCAGCCACCCGCTTGGCCAGGGCCCCGAAGGCCCTGCGTGCCTCGCGGCCCAACCTGCCGCCGTGGGCTTCCACCGCCGTGGGGATGAAGGTAAAGCCTTGTGCAGCGCGCAGCCGCGCGGTGTCTTGGTGCTGCCTTTGAATTCCTCGTGCCGCTCTGTCGCCGCGCTTGACGAAGCGGCCGACGCGGCGAGGAGATCGGCGCGCAACCCTGGCGTGGCGGCAAAGTCCCAGGCGGCCGACGTGCCGTTGCGCCACACGTGGCTCCATGGAAGGCCCCAGTGGCTGCGTTCACGTGGCGGCACCGCACCCGCTTGGGCACGCCCCGGACAAGTTTCGCGGCCCCACAAGGAGCTCCACCGAGGGCCCAGTGGCTGCGTTCGCGTGGCGGCACCGCGTCCGTTTCGGTACACCCCTCCTGTGCGTCGTGGTCCCACGAGGAGCTCCACCGAGGGCCCCAGTGGCTGCGTTCGCGTAGCGGCACCGCGTTCGTTTCGGTACACCCGTCCCGCGCGTCGTGTGCGGCCCTTCAGGGGGTTCGTCCGAGGGCCCAGGTGCTGCGTTCGCATGGCGGCGCCGCGCCCGTGTTAAAACACGCCTCCCGCGCTTCGTGGCCCCAGAGGGAGCTCCACCGAGGGCCCCGTTGGCTGTGTTCGCGTGGCGACATCGCACCCGTTTCGGCACACATCTCGTACGTTTCATGGCTTCATGCGGAGCTCCACCGAGGGCCCAAGTGGCTGCGTTCGTATGGCGGTGCTGCGCCCATGTCGGCACACTCCTCCCACGCATCGCGGCCCCACAGGGAACTCCACCGAAGGCTTGAGTGGCTGCGTTCGCATGGCGGCACCGCCCCGTGTCGGCACACCCCTCGCATGTTTCGTGGCCCTTCGGGGAGCTCAGCCGAGGGCCCCAGTGGCTGCGTTCGCATGGCGGCACCGCGCTTATGTCGGCACGTTTGCTATGCGCACGAAGCGGTGCAGGAGGGAGGCGACGGCCCTCGCCGAGGAATTGGGTTTCACCGAGTTCATCCGCGAATCCTGACCTGAGGAGCGGCCCGCCCGAGTTTCGCCCTTGGCCTCGCGCCACGGACGAGTTGCGCGTGTCGTTGTGGTCCCCTCGGGGCGACCAGCGCTCGTCGCGGGGATTCCCTTGCGCTCTGCTTGCACGAGCTGCCCGACATCCGCGTGCTCTGCCCAGCGCTTCGCCCGTTGTCAGCCTCCCGTGTTTTTTTGCCCCGTGCGTGGGGCGAGCCGCGCGCGTCGCCGGGACTTTTCCGGGGCGACTGGCGCGCTTAGCGGGGGCTCCGCGCTGCGCGGCCGGGCACCGCGGCCACTAGGGCGCGAAGGAAAAAAGGAGAAACCTACAAGAGGCAGGAAGTGACACAAAACGGCGGGGTACTGTGCTCGGGCCACCGCGGGCCAGGCGGGCAGGAACGCGATGCGCAGCGACAGTAAACGGAAGGGGTGAATAGATGGGGAGGACGAAACAGCGGCGCCCATGGTTCGCGCGAAACCACGAGGTCCACTCGCCCGCCCCCGCCCTCCCATCCGCGCCGCGCTGTTTTCGCTGGTCCCCCTCCTTCATATCGCTTGCGTCGCGATGCTTGCAACTGTGAGTGGTCGGGTCCCTTGCCAGGCGAGCTTGTTCTTTTCCAAACCGTCTTGTGTTGGCTTTCGTTTTGAAAAAGCCGCGCCCCGCGTCTTTCCTCCTCCCCCTCTTCGCCTTCCACCCTACTTATTCTTCCCTCCTTTCATCCTTGCTTTTGCCTTCTGCATGTCTATCATTCGGCGCACCTCTCACGCGGTTCGTGGTCCCGTAAGGAGCTCGTTCCGAGGTCCCAGTGGCGAGGTTCCCATGCTTCCGCGCCGCACACTTCGGCGCGCCCATTGCACGGCTCGTGGCCCCGTAGGGAACTCCACCGAAGGCCCCAATGGCTACGTTCCCACCGCAAATTTCCGCACACCCCTCGCGCGGTTCGGGGCCCCCAAAAGAGCTCCACTTAATGCCCAGTGGCGGTGTTCCCATGAGTCCGCGCCGCACATGCCGGCAAACCCCTCACGCGGTTCGTGGCCCCATAAAGCGGGTTCCACCAACGGCCCCATTGGCGACGTTCCCATGCGACCTCGCCGCGCATTTCGGCACATTGCTCACACGGTTTGTGGCCCCATAGGGAACTCCACTTGAGGCCCCAGTGACTACGTTCCCATGCGTCCGTGCCGCACATGTTGGCACGCCCCTCGCGCGGTTCACGGCCACAGGGAATTCCATGTAAGGCCCTTGTGGCGACGTTCGCATGGGTCTGCGCCGCGCACCTTGGCACATTTGTCACACGTTTCGCGGCCCCATGGGGAACTTCACCCAATGGCCCAGTGGCGACGTTCGCATGCGTCCGCGCCGCAGTTGTCGGCACACCTCTCCAGCAGTTCGTCGCCCCATAGGGAGTGCCACCGAAGGCCCCAGTGGCGATTCTTGCATGCGTCCGCACCGCCCATTTCACCTTTCCTCACACGGCTCGTGGTCCCGCAGGGGGCTCCACGTAAGGTTCCAGTGACGACATTCTCATCCGTCCGCGCCGCACATTTAGGAGGGAGCTCCACCCAAGGCCCCAGTGGCACCGGTCACATGCGTCTCCCCCGCTCGTTACGGCGCACCCCTTTCACGGTTCGTTGCCCCGTACGGAGTTCCACCGAAGACCCCAGTGACTCCGTAGGGGCTCCATCGAAGGCGAGATTCACAGCTGCAGCGCTCGCAAGTGCACATGGTTATGCCTTTTGCCAGGATACTTTCCGTTTCCTACAACAATCAGTTCAGCGCATCCTCGAGGGTGACGATGAAACGCGTGATTCAGAGTAGGCTTGCGATACGGGCTTTTCCAGACCTCCAGAAAAGTCTCGAGATATAATTTCTAATTATGTGTATACATGTGTGTATATCTATATGTATTACACAATTGTGTATTTGTGCATCGTTTTGCGGCGAACTTCCCTGTAGGTGATGCAGCGGGTCTTGAACGACGATGTGTCAAGCCGATTTTTGATACCCCACCCTCCTAACCGAAGGAGAAACAACTGCGTCCGCCCACTCTTTCGGAGCTCTGGCGCCTCCCCTGGCGGGTTCCGCGCGCCCGGGAGGGCCCCCCCCACGCCGCTCCAAGAGACCCGCGCGGAGCTCCGAAGGCGTATGTCTACGCGTTTTGAGCCCCCACTGGAGCGTGACCCGTCCGCCCCGGAGTGGCCCCCGCCCCTCCCTCCCTCCCTCTGCGGCCGCCCGCCCCGTCCTTGTTTCCCGCGCTCTTGCATGCTGGCGAATTCGCTGCTGCGGAGCCCCCGTTTAAGCCCACTCCGCCAGCGCAGGCGACCCCGGCCTCGCCGCCGACGAAACATGTCTACGCGTTTTGTTGCGTTCCTTTGCCCTAGGCGGCCGGCGCCGCTGGGAAGGTCAGAGAAGTGGGCCCGCGGGCGCCAGCAGCGAGGGTGGCGACGCGAGGAGGGAAATGAGTAACGGGCACGCCGACGGCGGCGACGGAGGCTGCATGTAGAAGGACGGGTTAGCGACCTTGTCGTCACCCGCGTCTTGCCCCTATCCATATCATATATCCAAGCGTCCTGTTGGTGCCTGGTCCCTCGATCCTGCGGTCTCGCTTTACAATACCTGGATGCGAAGGAGGAAATCGACAGACAACGGTTGCGTCATCTCCGTGCCGTCGTCTTCATTCTCCAGACGCTGAGACCGCGGCGCGGCTGGCGCGCCGCAGGGCGCGCTCTGTGCTTTCACGAATCCCCAAACAGTGCTTAAGCTGAGAGGTTCTCATTTGTCTGTCGCGCAGTTACACTAACGTGATAGTTGCGACGTTTTCGTTTTCGTCCTGGTGCCCCACGGGTGGTGCTCTATGTTTGGTGCCCTATGATGGTTGTGAGTGAGGAAGACGACGACGCGGCCGACGCCGCCGACCACGAAGGCGCGGCCGCCGCTGACGACGACTCCGACGACGCGCCGACGCCGACGACGCCGACAGCGGTGCGCTCGCGGGTCCCGATAGAACTTCTCCTTCCTCCTCCCTGCTCCTCCCCCTCACCTCTTCCTCCTCCCTTCTCTTCCTCTTCCTCTTCCCTCCTCCTCCTCCTCCTCCTCTTTCCTCCTCCTCCCTCTTCTTGTTGCTCCTCTTCCTGCTGCTGCTGCTGCTGCTGCTGCTCCTCCTCCCTCGGCGCCCGTGGGCAGCGCCCCCGCTTTGCAGGTTCTTCGCGCTGAAGGCGCTGTCGAAGGGGCGGATCCTCCAGAGGCGACAGGTGCGGCAGGCGCGGGGGAGGGATCACTGGAGAGGAAAGACACACCGATGCCGATCGTTCGCCCTTCGGGCGCCCTCGAGGGCACTCGTCGCCACGGCCATATCGATCCTCCTTGATCCTCGATCCTCGATCCCCGATCGTCCTCGGTACTCCTCGAGCCTCCTCGATCCTCCTCGATCCTCCTCGATTCTCCTGATATCCTCCTCGATTCTCCTGATATCCTCCTCGATCCTCGATCCTCCTCGATCCTCCTCGACCCTCCTCGACCCTCCTCGACCTTTCCTCGATCCTCGACCCACGCCTGGTCAGAACGCCCGCTTGGGAGGTGTCGGGGAGGCCGGCGCGGCAGAGGATCGGGGGAGGAAGGGCTTACTTGCTGCCTCGCATCAGGGCTGGACCCAAACGCCGTTTTGCTGGACTTCGGCTGTGCCTTGTTTTTTCGCTCTGGTAGGGAGCCACGGGAAAGCAGGTGGAGCAGAACGAACAACAAGACGAAAGCAGAAACGAAAAAATCAACGTCGAGGTCCGGCCCTGCCTCACATGCTCTGATGCTGGGGACCTCTCGAGGCCCGCTTCGGGCCACAGGGCCGCCCAGGCTCGACCCGGGCTGGAGACCTGGCCAGGGTGGGCCCGGGAGGCGTCTCCTCCTCCTCCTCCTCCTCCTCCTCCTCCTCCTCCTCCTCCTCCTCCTCCTCCTCCTCCTCCTCCTCCTCCTCCTCCCCCTCCCCCTCCCCCTCCCCCTCCCCCTCTCCCTCCCCCCTGGAGCCGGCCTTCCATGGGTTTCGGTCCGCACGCGCAGCGGTCGGTGGCGAATTCTCCGGCTCGTGCAGGGCGAGACTTCGGCACAGCCGCTGCGCTCTCCAGGAGGGCCGGTCGGAGGTGCTGGCTCGGCGCCAGGTCGCAGGCCCAGAGGTTGACACCAACAACAAGACCGGCGGTGTGCCTCCACCGAGGAAGACGATCCCGATCTCGGTGATGGTGGTAATATTCTGGCTTCCGAGGTGGCCGAAATATTGCCACCAACACCGAAATCTAGGATCATCTTCCCCCTGTGGAGGCAACCCCTTGTGTTGGTGTTGGTGCTAATTTCCAGGCCTCCAACCAGGCCCCCTCTCCACCCCTGGCGCGCTCCGTGCGCAGGGAAGGGGTGCGGGGAGGGGGCCCCGCGCCGACTCGAGGTATCCGCGCGCGCACCTGCGGCAGTCTTTGTGCCCAGCCCTCCCTCGGTTGGGTTTTCGTCTTGGAAAGGGCAGTGTGGGCCCCACCTCCTCCTCCTCCTCCTCCTCCTCCTCCTCCTCCTCCTCCTCCTCCTCCCTCCTCCCTCCTCCCTCCTCCTCCCTCCTCCTCCTCCCTCCCTTCTCCCTCCTCCCTCCTCCCTCCTCCTCCTCCCTCCTCCCTCCTCCCCTCCTCCCTCCTCCCTCCTCCCTCCTCCCTCCCTCCTCCCTCCCTCCTCCCTGCCTCCCCTTCGTCCACTCCCCGTCCCCCTCTCTTTCCTGTTTAGTCGTCCTCTCCCTCGTCGAGACCTCGCGGCCCCCGGGGGGGCTGCGAACCGCGCAAATGTCGCCACTTTTGTTGGCTCCTGGGAGGTCAGCGGAGTGGAGGTCCACGCGGATCTGCCGAGACCTCGCGGCTTCCTGGGGGGGTGCGAACCGCGCAAATGTCGCCACTTTCGTGGGCTCCTGCGAGGTCCAGCGAAGTGGAGGTCCATGCGGATCTGCCGAGACCTTGTCGCCATTCTCGTGGGCTCCTGGGAGGTCCAGCGGAGTGGAGGTCCACGCGGACCACCTTGTGGCGCCCTGGGTGGCTTCGAAGTGCGCGTATTTCATCATGTTTGTTTGTGTTGAGCGGTCCCTAGTATAGCTGCCCCGTGTTAAAAAAGGGTTGGGCACGTCACCGGGTAATTTCTCGGGGTAGTCGCTTCGCGCAGCCCCACCAGCCCATTTGGAAATGATGCCCAGGCGAACCGTTGGCAGGAGTGAAGTAGAGAAGCACATAGTGAGGCAGGGAGGCCAACAATGGATGCTTCTCGA